CCCGCCCATCTCCCTGCCTCCCTCCCCCCCTCCTTCCCTCCCGCCTTTCCTCCCTCCCCTCCAGAATTAAAGTTGGGACAGTCGCGCTCCGGGGATGGGTGCGAGCCAACGCCTCTGCTGCCGGCTCGCTCTGCTCCCTCCCCAGGTCGCCCGGAGCCCGCGCCCCCGCCCGCCCGCCCAGGAGGGATGCTGCTCCGGCAGCTGCTGGGGCTGCTCCGCTACTGGTGGCCCTCCCTGCTGCTGCACTGTGCCCTCCACCCGCTCTGGGGGTCCCTCCAGGTAGGGCCGCCCGAGCCCGCTCGCAGCTGCGGGGCGCGGGGGACGCGGGGCCGGGGCGGGGGAAAGCGGGGGCGCCGGCAGAGCCCCTCCGGCACCCCCGGCACTGCGGGGAGGAGGCCGTGGCGGGGCGGTGGTCGCGGAGGCGGCCCCAAAGCCGGGAGAGCTGCTGCTCTCCCCGACGAGGGCCCCCCTTGCTGGGGGCTGCGGGACGGCGGGTGTGCGGGACGGGCGGCCGGTGCCAGCCTCGGAGCGCCGAACTCGGTCCGAGCGTGTTCGGTCCCAGCAGGATGGAGTTGACTTTCTTCGGCGCGCCGGCGGTCAGAGGACTGGGAAGCGCATTTTGCTGTAGGTGGCAAGATGCACGGAAAGAGGCAGCGGCGGAGCGGAGCCCCGGCGGTCGTGCCTTGCCGTGGGTTTTCGGTATTGATTGCGAATTGAATTCAGGGTTTTCTGGGTAAAGGACTGAATCAGCCTTTGCCAACTCCGACGCCGTGGTGTTGTGTGACCTTGATTGTAATGTGGGTGGCCAGCAAGAGAGATTGGGAGAAATTCGTATACAGTGGGGGAGAGTGCCCATCCGGTTTGGAGAATCAGAACAGCGGCAAAGCTCATCTCAAATGCGTCACTTCGATATTTTAAAGTTTATTTATAATATAAGTCTTCAGAGAAGTGATTGATGAGCCAGCCAAGTGCCGTTCAAGAACCAACCAATTACAGTCTTTCTTGGAAAAACAAAGTGGAGACTCCACATCTTTTACTCCCTGATCTAAACTTAGTGACTCCCAAGAGATTAGAGAGATGTTGTTTGTTTTAGCATCTTGTCTCTTGCCATGAATGACAAAGAGGATTTGTGCTCCTTATGGATTAAAATGAACAGAAATACAACAAAAACAACCTTTAAACCAATGTCCTGTCATAAAAATTTCTGCCAGCGCTACCTTCCTGCTGTCCTCCTCAAGTATTTTGGTAGCTAATCTTCAGTTAAACTATAACTGAATTTCTCAGGGAAGCACCCACAGTTGGGTGAAAAGAGATGCCTCCTGCAACCTCTCCCCTATCAGTCAATTGAGCAGAGAAAAAAACCTTGGATAAACATCTTTCTGGCAAACTACTTACATGATCTAAAACGATTTTTTCAAAACAATTACGTTTATAAAAATTGAAACAGGCTCTGAGAAATACAAAAGCCAAGGAGCTCACCAGCCTTTCCTTGCAATAATTTGGAATTTGGATGAATGACCCATTCATCAACTGTACTTGTGCTATTGCTTGCTGTCCTGTGGAAGAACAAACAGTAAGCCTGCTCATACTCAAGCTTTTTTCCAGTTTTCCCAAAACTGGGCTCCCATCAGCAGGTTCCAATAGGAAGGGGACGTATGGAATGCTTACTGGCATGCCAGTCTTCCATCCTTCCTGTGACTGAAATTCCTTCATGGTTGAAGCCCTCCCATAATTCCCTTCGCCATGTTGAGTCATAATCCTTGCTCTTATCTTCAGTCTCACGAGCCATTCTCTCCTTGACTAATTCTGTAGTGTTGCATCGCTGCTCCCCTGCCCCTGCTCCATCTATAACAGCAGGCATGTTTTCTCACATCCCCCAGCCCCTCTTCACGCATTTGTCCCCACAGTGACTTAGTGTGGCATAGCCTTCCCTCCCACCTCGGCATTTCCTCCTTAGGCCCTGACTTCAGACACTTAAAAGAATCAGTCAGATGCTAATCAAAGGAGAAACATTTATCTTACTAAAAACAAAACCAAAGCAAAACCCACAATCTTTTCTTATTAGCATGGTAGCCAGTTCTGCAACAAGAGGGAAGGGATGAATCTGTCAGAGGCTTTTGACATAATTTTAAAAAGAGCAGAAAGAGTCATGATAAATAGCAGGGATGCATTTTTTCTGGTTTTGTAAACATGGGTCTGGATGAACTGATGTGAATTGTACAGAGCTGTCCTGGGATTTATGCAGCAGTGTTGAGATCTCATCTCATCTCTGTAGACTGCTTCCAAGAGACAAAGCTCTTGCTACATCAGCAGGCTTTTAGAGGTCTCTGTGCCTTCAGTCAACTGCACTTTTCTGTTAAAGCTTTCCTCCTTTTACCTGATTAAAAAAAGTCACAAGAAGGCCACCCTCCAGGGACTGTATTAATCCTCTTTTCCCATCCTACTCTGTAGAGCATGCTTGTGGACTGCTGCAACCCCATGGGACTCTACTGAAATACTAAATACTTCTGACCACATGCAGATTTATTCTTCCATGGTATGCAAAACAGGACTAGGATCACTGTTTCGAAAAGAAATCTTGGATTAAAGAGAAATATTCCACAGGCACAAACTTCAGAGACAGAGACTGCAAAAGGAAACCACCAGTTACCACTTTCTGTTTGTTCTTCCCTGGACATTTGTGGATCAGATTTTCATTTCCATAAGTATTTTAAAACTTTTGCCCTTTTTGCAAAACACATTCACATCAAATGCACAAATCCATAAAGTCAACTCTACGTATTTTCAGAGCAGGGAAAAGAAAATGCATCAGCTTGAAGTCCAGGCAGCATATGTCTAGACTGGTCAAGTGCTCTGTGTGTTAAGAAAGCCTGATGCCAAACAAGCAGCCAAGTTTCAGATAGGCCAAGCAAACGTGTTCATGGCACCTCCAGCACCCAGAGGAATGGCAAGAAGAGCTAGGGAGCAAGCCCTGTGACTGCATCTCCAGAGGTGAACCTTTGCCAAGGCAACCTCTGTGCCACAAACTGCCTGGCAGCCTGGTGGGCTTCCAGTTACACCTTACCTGCAAAGGTCTTCCAAAGCCATTCTGGGGCCATGGAAGAGTCTGCCAGAGCAAATAAGCAGTAAAGTTTGAGGCCAGATTCATTTAGGTGACCTGGCCATAGAAAGGTGTGGCTCCTTCAAAACGCTTTTCTTTTCCTGCCATATGCTGTAAAGGCAGTTTACCTTGAATTGCAGGCAGTAAGAAGGAAACAATGGAGTATTATTTCATCATCTCCTGCCAGAGCAAGATTGTTCCCTAAAGTGTATTTTCTAGTGATTTTTTCTGCTTACCTTTAGAAGACACAAGTAATAGCCTTCATTTCTTTCATAAGAAGACTAATAGACATCAACAGGGGGATTTTTTTTCCTTGAAAAGGAGCCAAATGCCTTCCTTCTTTTCCTGATCCTATCTTGCTACTGTTATCTGCTGCTTTATATTACTGTTACTGTTCTGTCCTCTTGCTGCAGTCCTTGACTATTTCTCTCCTCCCTGAGGCCCTCAACCTCGATTTGGGTCTTTCCTTTTCTTGGCGGATTTCAACCAACTTAAAATATCTTTGTTTTTAAAACAAAGCCTTTAAGACAAACCCGTCAAGGTAATATTTATATTCCTACTTCTATCTTCTAACAACCACACATTTCACCCAGTGACAGGAGAAGGGAAACAAATAGGTGATAAAGCCCATGCTTTTAAATGTCAGTTCTTTCCCAACTATTTAAAAATTATCATGGGAAATTGTTACAGAGGTTCAGGCTAAAGTATTGAGAAACAAATCAACTTTTCATTTTTTTTTCTTTCCTTTTTTTTTTTTTTCTCTAAAATAATATTTTTAAAGTAGACAGGATCAGGATCAGCAAGTGACTGGCCATGATAGTGTTAATCTTGTCTGCAAAGTAATTGGGAAAATTATCCACTATTTTCTGAGGACACTCTATTACCAGCCTAAGGGAGGAGAGCCTCCAGGGATTTAAAAGCAGTCAATAGCTCTAAAAAAAGAGAGAGCAAGCCTTTGGTTCTGGTTGATATTAAGTTAGAGCAATAAGTCAATGTAGCTTTGCCATACCAGCACTGTCTTCAAACTCACATATGCAAAGCTGCTTCTGATCTGCAAAGGAAGCTGGCTCCAAGTCTGCTCGATGTTATTCTTCCCTGTGTCCATCTTCTCCCATCACACTGCCCCCTGCAAGACTGCAGTGAGCTCTCAGGATTCAATAACCGAGGGCCCAGGCTGGAGCTGGGAGTTGATAGCTGCTTCCTAATCAGCTGCCAACACCACTGGAGAAGTGTTGCCCCACCTCCTCCTGTCAGCAGGGTAAATCTTGTCACACCTGTTGAACAAGGAGGTACCCCAGGTGTGCCCCTGACACTGCACGGGAAGGACACTTCTTCTCTCACAGGGCTCTTCTTGGGAGCCTGCCTGGAGCACCTAACCCCTCGTGAGCAGTGTTGGAAGAGCTGAAGCAGCATGGAGGATATTCTGCTGCCTCGGATCACTTACTTTAAAAACAAATAAACCTTCTTAGCTGACAGATTTATTACTAGTCATGAGGGATTACACAGCCAAGTCGCTTTGATTCATTAGAGTGTTCAGAGAGTTTGTGTAAGTTCCTGGAAGCTGTCTGGGATGATCTTTAACCATCTTCTTACTGTTACCTGATGGTGAAGGGGAAAGTTGGAAAGGACTTGTGCTGAATTTGTTTTTCCCTATGTTTGGTAATAGATTTAGACAAGCTGTTTAAAGAACTGAGCCTTCTGCCTTATGCTGTGCTGAGCTGTCCTTCCAACTTAGCTACATGTAGCCTTTTCTATTCTTTCCTCCCTCCCTATATTATTTAATCAACAAAGCCCTACCTCCAGTTCCCTGAGGCCAGAGTAATGCGTCTTTCTGCATTTAGAAACCTCCTACGCATGTGAACACGTCCTTTGTGCAGTGATGTTGTTTTAATTAGCCACGTCTCTCTTTCTGACCAGAAATATACAAAACGACTGTGTACAGCTTTCCTGCAGGGCAGTGCAGCCCCCTTGGTGCTCAGCTGTGGGTAGTGGAAGAGGCACTCTGGCTGTGCTGGGGGCCAGGGTTGAAAGGGGAGAGGATACAGACTGTGTGCCCAGAGCTGGCAGGGGAAGGGAAGCAAAACTTGGGCAGGAGAGAAAAGTGGGGAGAAGGCAATCCTGGGTGACCCTGCCAGAGAGGCAGAAGAAGCCTGCCTAAAACAGATCAGAAAGCATGGCATGAGACATCTTCTTTGTAAGGACCAATGTGTTGTGGAAAAAAGCTAATTAAAGAAGATGATGTTAGGCCAAAACTATTAGGACAATAACCCGCCTGAGACCAAACTTGACAAGAAAATATGCTAGCATAACTGTCCTTAGCTTCAGCAGGACACAAGTCTGTCCCAGACGGTCTCCTAATGCTTACATTCAAAGTGCTTGTTAGATAACATGCTTATTAATCTTTTCGGCTTTGCTTTGTCTCTTCGAAATTGTATCCTGTATAAGTCATTCAAACAGAGCTGGCTTAGAGACCTCTGAAGTTAACACCTCTCAGAAGCTTCTGCGATGCTCAGCAAATTTCCTTTTCATTGGGGACTGACTCCATTTTGTAGCATTATATTTTACCGAATCTTGCTGAATATTCCTTGACTCCCTAGTTATGTAAATACTTCTGTGATAAGAAAAATATGCTATTAATAAATAGTCCTTGTTGTGACTAGATCAAGCTACTGAATATATCCTATACCAGTACTGGCTAAATCATTGCTCGTGGCCAAGTGATGCTTTGCTTGGGTTCTGCAATGCCTCATCTTCACTTTCATTATTAGCCAACACTGCATCTCACAGGAGGCTACAATGTGGCATTTCCATTTAAACCATATTATTGCTGTGGTCCACAGATGATTAAAGTGCGGGTAGCCTCCCCACTTGGCGGGAAGTGAAACACCCTGTGAAATGCTCTCTGAACTTCCAAGTGAGGCTGGTAAAGCAGAGGAGGGATGTCCTCTGGCTCTCAGTTCTGCCTCAAGGAAAATGAACATAATCCTGACCCTAACTGTCTTGTAATTTTTATTAGCTCTCTTTGGCTTGCAGCAATGACCCTGTGAATAATGCATGCTTCTAGATGGCTTTCCTAAGGAAAGAAGGCTTATGCAATCGTATTGTCTGCCACTGCCTGCCTTCTCCTTACCCCATAATAACTCAGAAACCAGCTGGCCAATCTCAAACAAATTTGACAGAGGGAAAGAGTTCTTGAAGATATTGTGTTAAATAAAAGAAATATTAAAAATGGGAACCATTTAGGGAAAGGATATCTTAGGAACATTAGCTCAGTTCTAGCTACAGGTCTGAGGTGCCACTAGGTACTCAAGGCTAAAAAACACATTCATCAGTTTTCACTGTTCTGCTGCTCATGCAATGACTTGTTTCTTTACAGATCACTCAGGGCGAGCCCCAGAAGTCATGCTCCAAGCCTGTAGCAGAGAAATTTACAGAGAGCTGCCAGGAAATTTGCCAGTGCAGGCCACCTCCACTGTTACCACCGCCTCCTCCACCTCCACCGCCCCCAAGGTTGCTAGCGGTGCCAAGTAAGTAGCTGCCGATACTGCTGTGGTGTGCTGAAGGAGGGCAAAGTGACAGGGACACCTGGACAGACAGCAGAAGGGATGTGGGAAAGGGCACAGCTAGCTCATTTGTCATTTTCCACTTAGCAAATGGAAGAAGAAATGTTCTCAGTAGAGATGGAGATCTGTTTTCTGATCAATGAATAATGGTTGGCTTTTGGATGAAAGCCAGAGAAATTCCCTCCTTTCATTGTGTTATATATGATTCCCTGGTTTTAAATGGTTCCCTAATCCCCTAGCCCTGGGGAATGCTTTCCTACAGAGACACAGTGCTGTGCTGCCCCTTGAGTGTCATGACCCCCTTTTTTGCCAGGTGTTCAGCTTGAAGGTCTGGGTGCTCCAAGGCAAATTAATTTATAAGCAGACAAAAATCCAAACACTCTGTCTAGACCATTCAGTACGTTTGACTGTTGTCAAGACACTGGAGCACTACAGTTTACCATAGCAGTGACTCAGGCTCACTGGTTTTAAATTGCTTACAACTGTTACAAAAATAGGAGGCATGTCAGGAGTCAATGGCAAGTGAGCAGTTTTCGTACTAATGCACATGCAGGCTAAGACTCATCTGTTTCTCTTCACACAAATCAGTGCTCCCAAGCCTTATCCAGTGCATCCAAGCTCCTCCTTATTTTCAGCCATACATCCCCATGCCCAGCACACCTGATGCCTTCAGTTCCTGCTGGCTGGCTCTGCAGCTGCTTTCCACATCAGTATTCCTGTGATCCCTGACATACAGATAGTTTCTGGAGAGTGATATCTGTCCCCATGGTCCCTGCACTGTGGGAGAGACCTTCCTGCTTCTGCACCCACTGGGTTCAGGGACACAGACTGGGTCCCGGGAGTTTGGTATTCCAGTAACTCTCCTTAATGCTTATGCATTTTCATAAACTCGTCTCTCCCTATAAGGCTGCCTATTAATTCTTCTCCCTGCTTATATAAACTCTTCTGGGAGCAGTGTTGCAAAGTGTATCCAGTATCCTCAGCACTTCCCCCAAGGAAAAATAAATCATTAGGTATCATCATCTGGCTGTTTGTCTTTATCAGTGGCATCTCCAGATGTGCAGAAGACATGAAGAAGGTTTCTGCACAGCTTGTAGTCAGGCAGAGGACAGGCAGAATTTTTCGGTGTCTTTTCTGCCAGGAGCATGCTTTGTACTTGTGCTAGACTGCAGAAAATTAAGGCAAAGGCAGAGAAAAACCAACAGTGAAACACTTGGGAAAGGAAGTACAAAGACAGCTGGGAAAGCAGAGGGGGGATAGTTTTTATAGCAGGAAAAATCTCTTTCAATGTTCAGGAAAATGTCATGAGCAGTAATATGGAAAATTACCTTGATCTTTGTATCACAGCCAGAAAATAAAGTACTTTGTCGCTCTCTTTTCTTGTGCCTGGGGTATCCTGTTACCCTGAGGGGGATGAGATGTGGCAGAGTGTTGGCACAGGGACCAACTCTGCTGACCAGCTGTACTGGGAAGGGATCACCACTGCCAGGCTGCTTCCCCTCCATCATGCAGGTGCTCTGAGTGCATGGATTTGTCCCCTGTCAAGTGGAAAGTAAATAATGTCAGAAAAAAAGGAGTCTGTCACAAATTGCAGAAAGAAGAACAAGAAATCCAGTGGGCCTGTGACTGGGGTAGCCTGATGCTTTCTCAGGCTGGATTGCCAGGTGCTAACACAGTTCTAAAAATGAGCTATATAAATCCAGATGACTAATACTTAAGCAAGTGGCTTCATTTCAAATACAATGAAAAAAAAAGATTACACATTTCTTTCACTGGTAAGCTTTAGAGTAGCAATCAAGTGTCTCATCTTGAATGATGCTTTCATTATCATCAGCTGTCTAGGCACTGTGATTTAGTCCATGTGTACAGCAATCCACTTCCTTGGGAGAAACAACAAGCCTTGTGGTTAAATATTGATGTTATAGACACTGCTTTCAAATGGTATTCAGAGGAGAAGGATGTAAAGGCCCAAAAGCTATTGTGATGTGGTTGATGCTAGATTTGCACTTTGAACTTGCTAAGTGAGTAAAGTTTAGTACTGGAAAGACATCTGCAAAAAAAACAGCAGTCTAGGAGCTGCAAGATTTTTACCTTTACAAGGTAAAGTGTCTGTATCATGAGGTACTACATAAAGATGCTGGAATTGCTTTCAGAGCTTTGTGAGCCACAAAAGGCTGCAGTCTGCTAGGCTCTGTCCTTAAAAGCTCTCTCTGCAATCAAACTGAATGTTGCTGGAGATTTAGATCAACTCTAAAGCAGCTACTGTGGTTTGGGCTGGGTGATTAAAGCAAACAGATGCAAAAATCCTGTCTCTCCAGTCACTACAGACACTGACAGTTCAGTTGTCTGCTATATGAAGCATCTAGTGCTCTTTGACATGGCTTCTAGCTGCTGTTGTGGAAAATCAGAGAACCCTCTGATGTGTCCTTTCTATTAGTCCCACCTGATTGTTTTGCAAACCCTACTTGGTTGTATGGGATGGCACTGCATAACTGTTTGTGAGCAGCTGAATCACTCCCTGAAAGGCTTTTATTGCGTTTGAGGACTTTTAGGAACAATTATAGTACATTTAGTGTCTCTTTAGACACTTCAATATTGACAGGTTGATCCAGCAACAAATCTTCAGCTCTGCTTCCTGCAGATAGATTTATACAAAATCTATTAAATGCAGAGAATCCTAGAATTCACATATAATACCTAGAAAATACTGTGTTTATTCTGAGGGGAAATAACCTAATTCCCTCTGGAGAAAATGAGTAGAACCACACAGCTTAGCAGGCAGTCTAAAACCACAAGCAGTGTTAGGAGCACCAGCTTTCCCTGGTTTAGGAGACAGCTCCCTGTTAGAGTTGGGTACTGATATTAAGAATGTGTGGGGAATGTTTCAGCACATCCTGAGGAGGCACTGAATAAATGAATGAAGCTATATGAATATGGGAAATTAGAGTGCTTTTGTCCTCCTTCAGGGCTGACCCCAGGTCTCCTTTCCCCGCATTTCTAACTCCTTCACATGAACCACTTGCATTATGGTGCCCCTGATCTTGCCTTCACTGCCTCTGCTCTGCAGCCAATTCCATCATGGCACCATAACCCTGTGCCTCCTCCTGGGAATCCATCAGCCTTACAGTATCTAAAGGAAAGCTGCCATCAGCCATGCTGCTCCCTGTGCATGCTGGGTGTCTCAGTATTGCTGGTTCACCTGTACCTTTCTCTGCAAAGTGGGACACATGGGCTATTTGAGCTTTAATTTTCCTGAGCTTCATTTCAGATGCAGTTTTTTGTCATCCCATTGAGATACTGCTGTCTGATTTGATACAGATGTGTACCTTACCAAGGGGCTCTGAGGGGAGGGACTCCAGCCCATGTTAGAAGTAACTAGGATGGTGGGGACTGTGTGATGGTGAGGACTGTCAGGAGACATGGTCCCTGAGCCCATGGCAGCTCCTCCAGACAGTTTGGCACATCGATGTTTCCAGAGTAACTCCCCTTATGCAAGCAGCAGCCTGCTCTTTAACCCATGCCTAGAAAACTGCTCATTGATGAAGTGAAGGGAAAGCTCATGAGGCTCTAAGGGGCCTAAGGCCAACTCAACTTAAATGCTGACAGCAAAGGAAGAAAGAACTTCCAATGAATTGAGTGTGTTCCCTAGACATGTCTGTAATGACCTGAAGGCAATAGAGATGCTCAGAACCTGGCCTTTAATTAACTGTGTCTTTTTCTCTCCATCTGCTTTCCTCCTTGTCTCTGGATTTCAGCCAAGACTAAGACAAGGTGGATGGAATACTTGTTTAGGCAGCATTTCTAACCCGGCTTCACAGACCCATGAGATTAAGCTAGTTCAAGTGATGTTGACCCTTAAAAATCTGAAAAACTGCTGTTGTCAACTCCTACATACTCTGCGACCATGCAGGTTTCCGCAGGGGCATTGCAAAGAAGAAAGGACTTTGTCTGGAAGTAAAAGCCAGGCTTTCAAAACAGGAAAGGGGGAAGGGGTTAGAGCTAGACAGTAGTCAGTATCAATTTTAACCTGTGTAAGGTCTTATGGAAAAAAAAATATCAGTGACATCTTTAAAATGGTACAAGGAAGAGAAGGGATGTTCTTGCCTGTACTTCTCACTTGTTGGTGAGCAACATTTGCTGTCTGTTCTGTACCCTTGGGTAGAGGAGTCCATGGTATTGGGTGAGGAGTCCATGGTTTTGCCATCTGCTCTCTGGACAAAGGAAGTGTTCATCCAAACATTGCTTCAGTCAAAATTTAGAGGAGGAAACTTAAGATGAGTCTGGATGCATGAACAAGTCTCTGGCAGTTGGATGCTGGCACATAGGTGCACAGTGAAGTCTTTACAGCTCCTGACCTTAGTGGAAGTTTGCCCTGAGCTGTCAGCTGAGATCAAGCACAATTATGTCAGTGGAAAGCCAAAGTGAATGACATCACTGCAGAGGGCTCTAATCTCCATGCAGTAATTGTATATATTTTTTTTTTCAGAGTGAAATTTTTATCTCTGGAGACAGAGCATCTAATTAACTAATTATTTGGACTGGTGAAAATGCCAAAATAAAAATGACCAACTACGAGAAGGGTGAAACCTTTTGGCAGCTGTATAAGTTCAGATGTACAGCCTAATTTCAGAAAGCATGCAGGGTTCTTTCAGTGCAAGTAGGAGAGCTAAGGACATGCAGATCTTTTAGGACAGATCATAGATTTATGGAATGGTTCAGGTTAAAACAGACCATAAAGGTCATCTAGTTTCACCCACCTGCCATGGGCAGTTATACCTTCCCCTACACCAGGTTCCTCAAAGCCCCATCCAAACTGACCTTGAATACTTCCAGGGATGGGGAATCCAGTTTCTTTGCACAACCTGTTCCAGTGCCTCACCATCCACACAGTAAAGAATTTCTTCCCCATATCTAATCTAAATTTATGTTCTTCCAGTTTAAATCCATTACCCCTTGTCCTTAGC